GTCTCCATTCCCACTGAGTAATGAGATGAAATGACGTTTTTTTGGGTGGCAACTAATCAAATCGTCATGTTGTCGCATAGAAGCAGTCCACACCATTCACGTTCGCTTAGAGCCTTGTTGAGATTTCGGTTACCTAATACCTGATTTATAGAGATAATTGTTGCCTGAAAAAGAGAAAAAACTTGATCACACAAAAGAATTATACCGAGACACAGTATCTTCCGGATCACTAACCTACTGGAAGCACCTGGTTCGAAGTTAAGAGGCTCATAGATTGTAAGACACTCTTGTACAAAAACGTGTGAGCATAATCAAGAATCGGCTTCATGAGATCTTAAAATGTAGAAAGAATTATCAGTGAACTAGACAAGGCTACTGTAAAAAATCACACTCGATGCCTACGCTTTTGTCTTTGCATGGGTGGGATTAGTACTGTAGTTGCCGCGCATTTGTATATCTGTCCATTTATGTTTTTGTTAATATACTCTTAGATTTCTTTATTCATTTCCTCTTATTTCTAAAAAAATACACATTAACATCTCTGTATGTAACTGCGCTGTATCTGATTTCCTTCCTCTTTTTTAGTAAGTATTTTTCGAACTTTTTGACTTTTAAGATATCTGTAAATCCTAGATCGCTCCGCATCATATGGCTCGACCACTACCTCCTGAGCACGCACAATATGAACTTCCTCGGTTTACATTTCAGGTCTTATTTTTCAACCCATTGTTAGTTTTTCCCTGATTTTTTCCTGTGTGGGATTTCTCTTTAAAAGATGCCTGTGTTTTTTTCTCTGTCTTCACCAGAGATTTCAAGGTACTCTAAAAATTGGAGATTTTTTATCATACGACTATATTTGTGTGAAATAGATTGCTCAGTTGCGTGATTAAATATTATACGAAAGAATTCATTTCATCCGTGTTCAAACTCGTATAAAATGTCGAAGTTAGCTTTTGTTGAAAAATTGACGGAATGATCAACGAGAAAATCATCACGATATATTATATATATATAGATTTGCTTTTCAAATTATTGGCGACTGGAAAGCGCTAATTATGAAATTGTTTTTATGAAACTATGCAGATCGGTCCTTTCTTCGTTCTTCGCAGTCCCAGAGCCATCACCTAATACCTGAACATCTTCCAGAATCCTCCGGATGTGCAGAACACTATCATTATACATATCTATCTGAATGCGAAAGACAGACACACCCATACTATAGCCAAATCGCCACCAATCAAAGGTGTCTTCGGCATCGGCTCTGCTCATGGGTATGGTAATTTAATATCTATAGAGAAAATAAAAATTAACGTTGAATGTCTAAGTTACTGATTCAGTTTTTCAGAGTTGATTCGTTCACAGTAACGCGTACCTGCGCTGGTACGCAATTGTTCAGAGGTTTATTTCTCTAAACAAAGCTTTCTCTCAGAGTATTGGCTACTAATTGAATCTTAAATTTCGGCAATTTGTACGCTCACCTAGTTTCTAAGGACACCTTAGTGCGTTGTCTCAGCAAAATAAGATTACTGCACAGTCAGTTTGCTCCAATAGTTCAGTTAGAGTCCGTGGATTTCTCTTCAAAAAACTCTTAGCAGTATTACGCTGCCACAAATCTGGGCTATTTTGAATTTAAAATTGTTTTTCAAAAGGCCTACATAGGGCACTTTAGAGAAGAAATTGACATTTCACACCTTAAGTAGTTCACCCGTCGCTTCAGTGTCATAGTTGGTTTCTCGTAACTTTCATTGCGACACTATGGAAAGAAAATGAAGACTAGTACATATGGAATGATAAAATAAGATTATATGCACGCTTATATACTCTTGATGTCTATATCTCCAAGTGCGAACCGTGATATTATTTTCGCTTTTGAAGAACTTTTTATATCAAACCCAGTACTATAATCAGCCTATTTGGACTGTCAAACAAAAGTTGAAATTCTTCAGAAAAGACACTCACGAATCCTAGCCGCGCCAAAAAGGTTCTCCGAAGGTAGCGCAGTTTTATTTTTAGTGCTACAGCGCATTAAGAAGCGTTTCCAGCGTCCAATTACAGTATTGAAAATGCCAACATACACAATCGATTAACTATTAGAGTTTAAGGAAAAAATTCTGTCTAGAGAAAAAGGAGCTTTAGACAGCGTTCCAGCACAGGTACGTGCCGTTTTGAACGGATTAATTCGGGTTTTCTGTTTTTTTTTTTTTATAAGCATTACTGTCGTCATTTCAGTGGCGCCGGGACACATACTGATCCAATAGTAATCACGAAGGATTTTGACAGAGATACTTTGGAATTTGTTGAAGAGAATAAGGCAAAGGTGAGATAATTGAAAGCACGTGTGCAAACACTATAATTAAAAACTGCTGAAAATGAGTGCTAATGATAATCTTAACGACATCGGTACTCTGGAAAAAATGAAGATGCTAACTTTTTTATGTTTTGTAGCTGCTCAAATCTAAGAGAAGCCTCGCTTAGCGGTCTTAATTCTCTGCAACCTTTATGGTCTTTGAATACATTGTTACTCCTTTTGAGTCATTCTATTGGCCAAATATTCATCAGATCTACGATATATCATAACTTGAAAAGTTTTTCCCATTAGATTTCATACGCTTGACGTATTGTCATTTATTTTTCATTGCCATTCAAATTGGTCACCTCTGTCAATAGATGTGCTATTTGGCGCGTTCTGTTACGTTGAAAAGAGAATGGCATCGCAGAAACCTTTTATTTCAACACCTTGTGGAGACCCGAAGCCTTAGTGGTCATCAAATCAGTTTTTTCATTGTGTAAGAGATTGAGATCGCTTGGAATACTGACGGCTGTTGATTAGTAATTGTTGTTTATCTCATGTCGGATTAATCAGTAATACACTTTCGTCACACATCCTTCGTGGTAATGGAAGATTAGAACTCCAAGTTCTCCAAATTGGCTTACTAATTCATGTGTTAATGCTTTTAAGCATTTTCACAGCACTTTCAGTAACAGGAAGTGCATCTTTCCATAGCCTAGGTTTCTGATGTAGCAAGAAGAATTATGTCTGATTGACGAAGATGACTGCGGAAGCGAAAAAGCTGCACGTAGTCCTAAGTTTTTGACCCTTTCTAAACCATGTTATCAATGATCCTGGCTCCTCGCGCAGCTCCCTCCGAGTTTATCTAGGACATTAAACTGTCCACCATGTTGATTTTCCTTCACAGATAGACACAAACGACTCACTAAGAAATGTTCGTTTTCCTCAGTGTAAATGGACCACTTGCAAGTAAGTGTCTCACATGATCGTCTAAACTCTAACATTACAGAATGGTGGGTCCTGCAATGTCAGCAAAACTGAACTTTCTGCGCAGCTTTCCGGGCTTTTCAAGAAATATGTGGGATGATTTGCGCGAGAGAACCTCGATGCATTCTCACGCACATCTTGCTTATTCGACTATAGAATTGTAAGAGTTTCTGTGGCAGAACAGAACACACACCTTACTATGATTTTTTAAGCACGGATAATGTATATCACTCCGTTGTAGCAAACACGGCTCGCATGTCTATCAAAGTCGATGAGGTCGTTCATAACATCGTCATCGCAAAATGACCCACGTGGCCTCACACTTATTTAACATGTGTTGAAATTTGAGATACGTGGACCAGTTTTCATGACAATGGTTAATTCCAGCACATGGTAGAGGAAGGTCCGGCTAACATTGTAGAAGTGAAAGCGACGGTATCGTCACCTGATCAAAAAATCGAAAGCACCGTGAACAAAGCTGTTGATGCCGAACTAGAGAGAGCTATTCCAGCCGTGATGAACAGGTGCGTGACTTTTCGATACTTGTTCATCATGAAATGTTCTCAGAAGGAAACCGTAGGCATTGTTGAATTCTCGGGTGAATTCGTTCACAGTTTACATGGATACTATTCTTTAAAACACATCACGTAGTGCTCTGAAGGCTTCCCAGTCGCATCATATCAAACACGTAAAAGATATGGTTCATATATAAGCAGGAACGCCCACATATGTGTTTTATGGCCACAGAAACGAGTCGAAATCTTCATACACGTGTAAATATCGTCAACACAATATCGAAGTAAATTCACAAAAATAGTCTTAAGAACAAGAGGTGACAGTGACGGTGAGAAATGATACCCTCCGTTATGGATTGACGTGATGAGACAAGGTATCAATAGATATCATGATACAATTCAGCAAAGAAAAGCTCTTAAAGGACAGCTTGAAAGGCATGTTCAGAACGATTGTAAAGTAATTCCCCACTTAGAAATTCTCGTAATTTATTTCGATACTTTCTCGTATCTGCACTCATAATAAAAAACATACTTTTCATTCTTTTTGACGATTTAGTAATCATTCGATAGCTTTAGAATTTGATCGTTTGATTTAATTCAAACGGTTCTTATTTTGCGATGTAATAGTAGTAAAAATAAAATTTCATTCCATACTCAAGCATCTTTCCCTCCACACAGCTTTTCATTCAGATTTTCAATAAATATTCAATAGCATAAATCTCATCGAATCCAATGATATGCTTGGTTTTCAGAAGGACTCTTTAGTACGTTTACAGCTCCAAGAATATTAAATTTCGTACACGGCGTCGTGTCGATCGCTCAGCGCGATTCACATGAGACGTGCGATGCGCGCCGAGTGCGAAACCCAATATTCTTTCTTACGCGTTATAGCGTAAATAAGAGTGCTGTGTAAAACGAGCGTCGGTGGTGCAATGGTTAGCATACGCTCCCGGAAAGAGTGAGATCTGGGTTCGGATCCCGGCTGACGCAAACGTTTTTGCACAGTACTCCACATATTGGGTATACTATAACATCATACCACTGCAAGTGGCAGCCAAAATAGAAAGAATTTAGACTGAATATCGATATCCAATGTCTGTCAACACTAGTGGGTTCAATGCCGATAGCGGCTGCCCTGCCAGACCGTCGACGGTTGGCTGTTGGCAGACAACGCGTTATAGCGTAATCAAGAGTGTTATGCAAAACGAGCGTCGGTAGTGCAATGGTCAGCATACGCTCCCGGAGGAAAGAGTGAGAATGGGTTCGAATCCCGTCTGACGCAAATGTTTTTGCACAGTACTCTACATATTGGGTATACTATAACATCATACCACTGCAAGTGGCAGTCAAAATAGAAAGAATTTAGACTGATTATTCTTTCTTAGTTGTAACAACGCACCAAAAAGTCTTTCTCAAAGCCAAGCATATCATTGAAATTGTTAAGATTTGCCCTATCGAGTGGTCATTGATTTTCAGAAAAAAAAAACTGTTCTAAGCGGAAATTACTCAAATGTATAACACAATTTTATTCTAATTGCTACGGCGCACCAAGAGATGTCTTTTCAAAAAGCAAGCATAATTTGAAATCTTGGACTTTCAAGCTATCGATTGATTATTGAAAGGCGATCATTTGATGCCAATGTCGGAACATCTGCTCACATCTGGTGAAAGGTATGCGTGCCGCTTGTGAAGTGCAATTTTTAATTCAGTGTTGCAGCACAATATAAATTTTTTAGAAAAACCAAAAGCAGAATCAAATTTGTCGAAATCTTTGCTACCGAGTAAATAATAAATTTTTTGAGGAAAAGCTTTGCTCAGCGAAAAGTGCTTAAGTGTAAAATAAAATTTTATTTACACTGTTACAGTGCAATGTAGAAACCATTCGAAAAATAATATACACCGTTCAAATTCTATTATTGAAATACCACTAAAATGTCTAGAAAGAAGAGTGCGGATAGGAGAAAGTCCATTATTTCACAAGAGTATTTTTCAAGGCTCCATTAAATCTTTATGGACACACTCTGAGATTCCATTCAAACTCTCTGAGCAGTTCACATCAAGAGAAGACTGCACTCCTCTTACTGTTTGCAAAGACGCTGTATCAATAGCTTTTTGAAGGGATCTAGTAGCCATAGATTTTCATGACAACTCTTATGCGGCTTCACGTGAACTAATGCAAGATTTTCTATGGTAGCTCTGCTCCATCTTTGCATATGGATAACATTCCAAGTTTCGTTATATGGCACTTGCTTGAAACACTCCTGAAAGATAAGACGTTCAGCCGTGTATGTAGGGTTGTTAAATTTCAAACAAGGTGGTCGCTCTGAAAAACAACATCACAGTTTTGTTGCATGATTAAACGAAAGCCAAAAATGAAACTCTAAAGCCTAAGGTTGGTACGCCAGGGCCATACACCAGTGTTTCGGCGGTCTTGCCCAGGCGTATGCGGTGACGGCACAGTGCACAATGACACTAGTTCATCACCACTTCTCATCCGATGGATCTTGGCTGTTGGAACAAAAATGATCCGTGGCATCGACTATTTTCGAAACCTCGCAATAATCATCCAAAATAAATTCAAAAAAGAATGTTTAAAGCCTACGCCTCCCTCCTTGCTACAATGCAGGGCTTAACGTGGGGCGTGGGTCACTGACGAGGAGGGCGACACCTCCGAAACAACGGTGTATGGCCCTGGCGTACCAACCTCGCATAGGGTTTGAACATTCTTATTGAAATCATTTTGAATTTTCACTGCGAGGTTTCAGAAACAGTCAATGCCTTCGATCAGTTTTGTTCTACCAACCGAGATCCATCGACAGAGAAGTGGTGATGGGCCAGTGTCATTGCACACAGTGCCGTCACCACATACGCTTTCCTCCTTGTCTACAATGCAGGGCTTGATTGGGGCGTGGGTAACTGACGAGGAGGGCGATACCTCCGAAACAACGGTGTATGGCCCTGGCGTACCAACATTGCTTAGGCTTCAAACATTCGTTCTTGAAATTATTTTGAAAGAAACTTCAGATTACTTTTACATCATACAAGTGAATTTTGAGTTTTTTAAAACAAGCAATTTTTTTCGATTATCCTATGTACAGGGCGCGGGAAATATATTCTGTCAATGCCGAAATTAACAAATTACAACATTGTCACAGCTGTTCTCACATGCTGTATTGTTGTAGGCAATACACACTTCTGGTGATCCCTTTGTTACATGCTACCTAACTTCCAATTTGGAATCTTTTGCTAGGAAAGTTCGTCCGCCTAATATGATATATTTGAGATTGGAAGGGCCCATGTCGGCTATGGACAATGAGTTGAGAAAGGAGTTGGAACAGGCGTTAGTGGACGAACTAGCGAAAAACCTCGGCAGCACCATTGACGAGATGGAAACGAAAATCAGCGACGAAGATCTCGGAAAGTTAATAGGTACGATTTACAACTGTATTAAAAATTGGATAGGCTAAGTTTTTCAAGTGTTAAGTGCAAAACTGTACACTAAGCGTAAGTTAATTCCAATTTAGAACCTGATAGAATGAAGTTTGAAAAAGTGTTTGTAGAAGTATTAGTGCGAAGTGTGTTGAATAGTCATCTCTAAGAAAGTAGCACAAGAAAACGAGTATTAGAGTAAGAACGAAGGAGGAGTCGTTGCCAGGTTTCAAAAGATAACTATTGAACAGCACAGAGAAAAATCAGCCATCTATCTTCATATCACACAAGGAGCCATCATTTTTGCCGCTCATTGGTTATACTGCTATACTCAGCACAGATTTTCATTTTATTTTGGTATAAATAACGGAAACTTTTGGTTTGTTGACAAGCTTACGGCGGCTTTACTAAACCTTAGTTTGACTAACATTTTGGAGCTTTCGCCTTGTTCAAAACCTCACCGGAATAAAGCACGTTCTACCATCACCTAGGGAATCCGTAAATGCTTATGAAAACGTGATACTTAGTGTTTGTGATAGTCAGTAAGCTCTTTTGTGCTGAATGATATTATGAACATGCCATAATTTGCCAACTTTCGTGATTTTTTAGAAGAAGGTTTCATGGAGATCGATAGAGAGTTTACTGCACCATCGGTTCAACCACCAAGTATCACAAGTACCGACGTTCCCACAACTATGACAACGAGGGATACTCAGACCCCTACAAGTTCTGAAGCTACAACGATCACGAGAAGAATACGATGGTTGACATTGATGAATTCCTTAGTGAGTCGCCATTTGAGAAGGTATAAAACCCAGTACTACTTCAAATTTATGCTCTCGATCACTTAAAATTGCGGAAAGTTTTTTCAGACCACACCTATCTTGCAAACTAAGCCAACTCTAGCACCGAAAACTTCGACTGTGCGAACATCACAGGAAATTACAACTACCGTAGCTACTACACCAGCAACAACTACCACAGTTCAACCATCTACTCATCCGTGGTGGGAGCTGTCATCTCGTTCAGTTACAGAAACAACATCAGCCTTCCTAACACAATTGGTCACCACTTCTACGACTACCACCACCACTCCAGCAAGAAGTCACCAATTTTGGACGGCTTCCAGAACAACATTCACTACTCGAGAACCAGCAACAACTACTACGTGGTCGCCGACAGCACACTCTAGTGCAGCGTGGACAACTCGTTCTAGCTCGAGTACAACCATAACGACCACTCATCGGCAAACTTTCCCAGCACATCCACCATTACTTCGTCAACTGCACTTGAGACTCGGTCAACTCCTGAAACGTCAAGTCGTCCATCTTCTACGGCCGTCTATAGTCGTTCAACGCCATCTGTTGCAAGCACGGTTACCGATGGGATTTACTTCACCACGTCATCTGCACCGGATCGTTGGAAAACGATGGATCTCATGTTCAAACAGCCTGGACATCATCAAGTGGTACGAAATGTTGAAGAATAGTTGAAATTTGCTCCGAATTTACTACTTGTTAAAGAACTACGCTGCTAATTTTACGAACAGCCTAATTCTAGGTGATTGCTGATATTGGGGATATGCCAGATGAACAGATTGAACGTGAGCTTCAATATTACATACACGATTATGTTTATTGATGTGCTTTGCATAAATTTCACTAAGAATAAGAATGAATGGAACAAAATGTGCAAAACATTCCATTCTTTTTCTTTAACCACTCTAGCGGTGGTATGATGTTCAAAGTATATGCGTAGAAAGAGTGGTATGCAAAGTAGGCAACAGTAGTGTAACGGATAGAGCACGCGCTCCCGGAAAGAGTGAGTCGCAGGTTCTAATCCCGCCTGATGCGAAAGTTTTGCACATCACTCTACATTAATGGGTATATTCTATTTCTTATTGAAAACTTTCAGGTACATCTTCACAACCGGCACGGACAACAACAGCGGCAAAGTCATCGAGTATTGCTGATGGAAGTATCTTGAATCGTGAGCTATCACCTAAAGATGACAAACCGACGAGGTGGCATGGTTCAGTTGAAGAAACTCCGATCATCGAAGATGAACTAGAGCCGAACATTGTCACATCACGTCCGATAAAGATAGTCAACCTAGAAGGTAATCATATAAAGATCCCAACTATAAGTCTTCTAGAAAAGGTGCTTAACGCGGATCGATAGTCGAGTGTTTCAAAGCTGAGAGCTGATTATTTTACAAAGATTCCTAATGCGAGATTCGCTTTGATTCCAGCTCAGAGTGAGATATGTTATAATTCTATGTACACAGTTTTCTTAGTTAAGCGCGAAATAACTATTTTCCTTTGCTGTGAAATCAATGACTCCCAGCAAAACATTTTTCCACTATTAAACTACGATATATTGCAGGCATATTTCCACACTCGGTTAGATTCCTTTCGATATCTCTTTTTCTCTCTTTCTGATAAGCTAAGAAGAAATTGACTATTTTTACTAGTAAAGTCAAACATTCGAAAAAACCGTTTGAATGAGAATTACACTTATATCTGCAAAATGTTGCAACAGGGTGGGTAATACATAACCAAGCTGGAACTGAGTATGGCCACTTGTAGCGAAAACCTGAGTAGGTACTGCTTGTGGTATGCAGAATGCGACTCCAAGAGTACATGCTTGGTCAGCAAAAAATCAGCCTCAGAATTTTTCACACTGAACAATTTTGTTCAAAGTGTCGGTAAGGCGACTCCCTGCGAGGTGATCACATCATTCTTCCTGACAAAAGTTGTCATCGTCGAGCTAAAAATGGAAGAACTTTTGCTGGACCTTTTATGAGTGAGATAACACTCTATGAGGATCGCCAGGCGAGAATGGTACTTTCGCCCATTGCTCATTAGAGATTAGCTTTGAAACAAAACTATCTCAGAACAGTGGAAGGTATTTTGTTAAGGAACTGTGCCGGAAACCATTCCGCGATCATCCCACTGAGCGCGCTCTATTAACACTTCGGAATCTTATCTCTTATAACAAGCGTTCTTGATGAGGTTCACAAAAACATTAGGTCATAATTCTCCTTGAAAGCTGTGGGCTCAAGCAGTAGCTAAAAGTTTTGCCAGCAAAAGGCAGCCTAATTAAACTTCTTGTGAAGGGATCGGCATAAGGTGTTCGTAAATCTAATCTTCAGAAACTATCTCATGTTAGGCATCCACGTTGATTGTCTCCGAGAGCAAAGCTTATAGTAGATGATCTGGTCATATATTGGCGATAATTGACGATAGATGGCTGAAAAGAACAGAATCTTGAAGGATGCAGGTGTCTTCTACGGAGAATAATGGTAACGCGGACGAACTTCATTCACTTGAGCAAGTTTTATTTGCGATCTAACAGGATTTCGGGATCTTGAAAATATTCGTTTGCGATACCATGCATCAAGAACATTGGCGCTAAAAACAAGAGTGATGTGCGAACCAAACATCACAAGGTTTTGTTAGAATGTAGGTTGGGCTAGCTGTTGAACTATCTGGATGAAATGCGAAATCCAGCAGTGGATAAAAAGTTTTCCTATGCTCAGTGAGCATTCAGCAAAATCTTTTCAAGCGCTCTCTGGACTTGCCAATGAATACATGTCGCTGCCAAATATATACTGCCATGAATTAATGGTTTCGTAATACGAAATGTAGAAATGTAATAGTGATTTCTAACCAAATTGATTTTTTTGCTTTTGATTTCTATCCTACTGCTTACATTACCTTCTGACGCTAGGGTACAGAATAATATACACCTGCGAGAATGCTTAACTACGAGCAAAACTTGAAACATAATGTATGTGATAATAGATTCAAACCGCTGCTATATCGATCTCTCACCACCGAGTCCCTAACTCTGCCTCTTTTGGTCGTGTTTTAGCCGTAAGCAGTGGCTCTAAGCAAACCCTTTAACGGGTGATTCCACTGATGGTTGGTTGTTGAGAGACAATGCCTGTGGTGAGAATCCGTTGGAAGAAAGACAGATCGAGGGGCTCGGTGGTGTAGCGCGAATGCGGACGTCCTCAAAAAGAGCAGTTATAGTTCGTGAGTCTATTTGTCATACATCATGTTCAAAGTTTTGTTCATATCTCAATTTTCTTGTGGTAATATATCACACTGTGTAGAAAAAAAATGTAATTGAACCTACATTTTGAGAGAACGACGAAACCACGACGTCTCAGAGAGGAATGGCAATTGGAGCGCGAATCATTACTCCACCACAAGCTACTACGGTAGATATTTTTTTATAGGACCACATTATTGAACACAAAACATCTTTTCCCACAAGATAGATACAATTATTGATTCATTTCAAGACAGAAAATAAACCGATACAAAGTTTTTATTGTAAAGTTAATTGCATTTGTTACAGATGGAAATACCAATACGTGATGGCACATCATTCGGCACTGGGACAGAGATTACGATAGCACCTAGTAAGGTTGCCAGTAAGATTCAACATAACTATCTCCATTACTAAAGCTGGTAATGATTTATTTTCAGCAAGCTTCAAATCCATTTCTCTTGGGCAGAGTCGAACAGGTGCTACTACATCCACAACATCAAGTGTAGATTATTCCACTGTAGGAGGAACTTCACATACATTACCATCCACAATTACTTCCACATTGGCTGAAAAACAAGAAGAAAAAGAAGAACAGACCTCGCACGTTGTGATGAAAACGCGTCCCATAAATTTTGGTGAAGAAAACATGATGCATGCTATTATAGAGCCTGACACTCTTCAAGAAGATGGGGTAATCTCTAGTGTGCCAGAGATTATTACCACCACGCGGCCTTCATCTACCGAAACAAGTATATCACCCGTAAGAGTGCCATTTATTGGACTACCTGCTCCCAGTGATACCAATTTGCCTCCCTTTCAAGCAATTCCTGGAGTATTTGAGGAATTCGGAACGACTTTTGCACGTGAAAGATCATCTACAGTAGCAGAAGGTGCAAAGGAAATGGTAGCAACCACCTTATCACATATTATTTTTTTCTGGATTATTTACCAGATAGGCATACATTACTAGAGTTAGGCAAAAAGTTCTGGGAAATTTCTCAAAGTTTCGTTTTTATGTGTAATTTAACAGCAAAAACAACAGCAGATATTTTCCAAAATATAGATCGCTAAGGTTCACGATTTTCTGGCAGCCTCCTTCTTCTCTTTGTAGACAAAGTCAAATTAGTGCAAGATGTAGAAATTCCGCTGCGAAACACCAAGCTCTTCAGCCAAATTACGAATGCTCGATGAAGGCTTAGCATCCAAAGCAACTTACAAGTCACTTTCATCCAAAACACGTGGCCAGGAAGAACGAGGCATGTCTTCAAGATTAATATTGGCTTATTTGAATCGCTCAAGGCATCTTCCCACAGTCGATTTTCTCACCATTTCAGCACCTTCATCCTCACTGGTCTTATCGACGGGTTTGAAAATCGTTAAGCGTTTTCTCTAATAGTGGCGCATCAACACGCGCAAATCATGCTGATCAAAAGACATTTTGGAACTGATATTGATGAACAAAACGAGTATAACAGAAATATAAACAAAAAACGACAAAAAGTCGTCAAGAAACGAAGCTTTTAGAAACTTTGTAGAACTTTTTGCTTAGCCTATTAGATAGATTTAGCCGCTCATTTTCTCGACTTACTGTTTTGATAAGCCAGTCAAGAGCAGTAAGCAGTCAAGATATTGCGATGAAAATGCTTTGTTAGTGCAAATCGTGAGATGAAATAGTTTGTTACTCTAGTAAATTCAGCACAAAAATCTATTACATCAGAGTGAAGAGGGGGCACGGTTCCATGTAAAATAGCGGATACAAAAGAACTACTAGGTATAGGCTGCGATAAGGCTCCAACTTATTAGTTACTGAATGAGACTGGGTGAGAAATACAAACAGGGAATAATTTTGAGATCGTGCCTTGACAAGCTACTCATTGCACTATCGTGAACAAATTTAGATTACTATCAAATCTCCATTTGAGGAGGAACACCGTTCAACAGAAACATTCCTTGAGCCAAAAGGTGTGCCAATTTTCATTTCCGACAGTTTTCGGTTGGTGGTACAGATTTATAAGCCTGTCCTTTTCGCTGGACAAGAATTTTTCATAAAGACTGTTAGTAATCATTCGAAAACATAAATCTCTGGCTAGGGCGGTACGGGGTCGAATTTTAAGAAAGTCTTTACCATAACAGAGCTCTTTTTTCAGAATACTAGTAAACATTCGATAGCGCAAGGTTTAAGGATTCAATCGTGATGTTTATTTTCTGGTAAGACCGTTTCTGTGCAGTGTAGAGGTGAAAAAACATTGATATACGCGATCAAGTGGTCTTTGGCCAATTTACGAGCTGCGGGATGGGACAGAGGAGGCACGAGGGGTCGGCGCATCATCGATCGATGGCGACTATGTGAAGTGCGACTTTTTGTTATTTGATTAGGAATTATTTCTGTGCTTTGGAACAAACTCCAGATCAAATATCTGACTTTGATACTAAAAGATTTTCTATACATGTTTATGTCCTTTTCGTGTTTTCAGCGAAGTAATAATTGAATTGCACGGCCGATTTTAAAATATATACCGATTTTTACAGCGTTGTAAAAGGATGCTTTTCGAAAAACCGGCGCCTCACCGCGTTAGCCAGAGACTTGAGCTTCGAATGATTACTGACGTTCTTTATGAGGAGGTTCTCTTCCAGCGAAAGGAGTAGACTCAGAAATCTGTGCTACCAAAATTTTTTCTAATTTTGAAGAGTGGTAGTGTTGATTTCATTGATACAAAACTGTGATGTTCTTTTCTGTTAATAACTGGAGACATAAAAAGTACTCAGTTTAGGGTGAAATATTGGTTATATAT